TTGGAAGTTTGAGTACTTAATGTAATTCTTATTTTTCTTATATTACAGTTTGTGTATGTGTGTGTATAATACATAAAATGGCTTCAAAATAATACCAACATTTGCCCCAAAGAACAAGCCTCCTGAGTTCATTTTAAGACTTTCTTGTGAGTTTTCAGGATTTTGTATGCAAATACTGTCTTAATATCACTTAGAATAACTCTTCTTTGGGTATTTATGCCACCAACTTGATATACAGTGAGGTTTGAGATTGATTTATATTTTTTTAAGGATTGTCTTGAGTGTCCAAGAAGACCTAAATAAATTTTTACTTATAAAACAAACATGTTGGGTATGTGTGAAAAGAATTGTTTAGAAACAGAATTAAGAGAACTGTGCGCTCCCAAGTAATTGATAACGTTAGTAAAACTTTCTGAGGTGGAGCTCTGACAGATGGAATTAACAGTCTGCTAGCCTAGAGACCACTTGGTTGGGGGGGAGGGGGGAGGGCCCTTTGATTTCATGTCTCTTTGTTTTTTCATGTAAATAGAAAATGAAATCAGATCAGGAAGATGACCCCTTTTGTTCGGCTCATTAAGTTTTTGTGAAAGTTGCCTCTGAACACCGTTAGATTGTCCTGTTACCAGGTTTTATGCCAAGAAACGGTTCGCTTTGACAGTAGATCTCTTCCCCCTTTGCCTGTTTCTCTTCACAACCTTGAGACCTGCTTTATGCCAAGAAGCAATAGGTTATATAGCTGTAAGTCTTAAAATAGTTTTGGTTTCTTAAACAAGTAATGAAGAAGTTATTTTGTGTTTTATTGGAATTGTCAGTATTCTTTAAGTCGTATTTTAGATTGAGATATTTGATAATAAAGTCTAATATCATTGCTTTGTATCTGTGCAGTTTACTCAGTATAACACCAGTTGGCAACTTTAACAATTGTTGGTTTTAAAAAAAAAAAATGCGTGTGTCATGTTGGTAATTTAGAGACAGTGTGTATGACTTGAAGATTGCTTGTTCATATGGGGTGCCCAGGTCAGAGCAGAACGACTGTTGTACTAAGCTGCTGCCATAGCTGCCTTTTCAACCTTGGCTTGTACACTGTTGCAGAAATACAGAAGTAGACAGGATCATATCATGACCCCTTCTTTTCCTCTCCCGGGAAGAGCACCTGTGAGCCCCCATGTCTCTGCCCCACATCACGTTATCTCCCCTGGAAGTGTTTCATTATGCATCCCTAAAAGCTAGGGTCTCATTTTACTTATTATCATTATTAAACATAACAGATAAAGCCATATAAACAAAGCCGCAGTTGGGCCAGTATGTGTATCTTGTCCCCATTTGTATTGAAGCCAGGCTCCTGGTCCAGCTTCGCAGAACCTCTAGGCCTTCCTGTGTGCTAGTGTTTGCTGCAAGGTTGCAGTAAGATCACATCCTGGGTTTGTTGTGCAGGACTGCTTCCTATCTGTGGTGTGCTGTTTCAATCACAAGGGGCATTATTTCTGACTGACTGAGAAAAATATAGGTAGTATATATAATAAAGGACTCTTGTAGTTAATTTTTTTCTCTTGGCTGTCCTGTATCTTGTTTTCAATGAGACATTTTTTTTTTCCTTTGAGAATCTTAATATTCAAGTTAATAGTGTAAAAAAGCATCTGCACCTCCCTGCTGTGACTGTCAGTGCAGCTACCAGGCAACATCATAATTTTCTGGATTTTACAGTTTAACACATTGCAGGTGATTACGGTTTAACATATTTGTTATTCATTCTGCATTGTGGAAAACATGGATCTCTGAAACTGTTTTGTTTCAGGCCTTTCTTCTCTGTTAGTAGTTTACATTTCCAAGTCTGTCTTACAGATTTCAGTGATTCTGTCTTCTCTGGTTGATGATACATTTGACAGTAGGACTAGGTCACCTTTGATCATCAGATTTTCATTATAAAGGGTTTTGAGAATTTATCATAAGCAGGTTATTGAAAATAGAAAGTGCCATTATAGAAACTTAAAAACCTACATGATTTACCTAGTGACAAAAATAGCTCTTAAATTTATCTGCCACTTGGATGCTGTGTGTTTTTAGAAGAGCTTGAAAAATTTGGGTTAAATCGACTTTATCTTGTGAGGAGTGGTAGCTTACAGTGAAGAGAGGGAACGCTTTAGTCACACCTGGATATCTGAGAACCATGATTCTGGCGCTTGTAATACAAAATCATGATAACTGGTATACTTTCTAAGCCAGTGTTACTTCATGATCCATTTGGGAAAATTGCATGAAGTTCAGTGTCCAGTTGTTGAGCCAAGCAAAAGCTTTACGCAGGCTGCTTGGCATGCTTTTGCCCTGTGTTCAGATTGCTTTGGGTTTCTTTGCTTCAAGACTGTGAAGGGATTCCTTTAAAACAAACTTGTTTCCTGGAAGAAAATTAAATGGGCTGGTCAAAAACTATATATGCATAAATTTGGGATTCATCAGTCCCAAATTGGAGTTCTATTAATTTGGTAATTTTCTGTTCTTAAAAAATGAATTTCTTTTATTTTTTCCAAAACTTTAAACTTTTTATTTTGTATTGGGGTATAGCTGATTAACAATGTTGTGTAGTTTCAGCTGAACAGCAAAAGGACTCAGCCATACTTATACATGTATCCATTTCCCCCAAACCTTTGTTGCATCCTAGTTGGCACTTAACATTGAGCAGAATTCCACATGCTACACAGTAGGTGCTTGTTGGTTATCCATTTTAAATGAAGCAGTGCAGACATGTCCATCCCAAAGTCCCTAACTAGCCATTCTACTCCTAGCAACCATAAGTTAGTTTTCTGTGAGTCTCTTTGTGTTTTGAAGCAAATTCTTTTGTATCATTTCTTTTTAGATTCCACATACAGGGGATATATATGATTTCTCCTTCTCTATCTGTCTTCACTCAGTGTGATACTGTCTCAGTCCCTGCATGTTGCTGCAAATAACATTATTTCATTCTTTTTAATTGTTGTTCAGTCGCTCAGTCGTGTCCAGCTCTTTGCGACCCCGTGGACTACAGCATGCCAGGTTTCCCTGTCTTTCACCATCTCCCGGAGTTTGCGCGCACACTCATGTCGATTGAGTTGGTCATGCCTTGCAACCATCTCATCTTCTGTCGTCCCCTTCTCCTGCCTTCAGTCTTTCCCAGCATCAGGGTATTTTCCAGTAAGTTGGCTCTTTGCGTCAGGTGGCCAGAGTGTTAGAATTTCAGCTTCATCATCAGTCCTTTCAGTGAATATTCAGGGTTGATTTCCTTTAGGATTGACTGGTTTGATCTTCTTGCTGTCCAAGGGATTCTCAAAAGTCTTCTCCACTACCACGGTTTGAAGACATCAGTTCTTTGATGCCCAACCTTTTTTATTGTCCATCTCTCTCATCCATGCATGACTACTAGAAAAATCATAGCTTTGACTCTGCGGACCTTTATAGGCAAAGTAATGTCTCTGCTTTTTAATACGTTGTCTAGATTTGTCATTGCTTTTTTCCAAGGAGCAAGCATCTTTTAATTTCATGGCTACAGTCACCATCTGCAGTGATTTTGGAGCTAAGAAAATAAAGTCTGTCATTGTTTCCATTGTTAATTGCTGAGTAATATTCCGTCGTATATTACTCAGTCATTAAAAGAATGAAATAATGCCATTTGCAGCAACATAAAGGGACCTAAAGAGTGTCACATGGAGTGAATTAGGTGCTAGTGATTAAGAACCCACCTGCCAATGCAGGAGATGTAAGATCCCTGGGTCGGGAAGATAGCCTGAAGCAGGGCTTGGCAATGCACTCCAGTATACTTGCCTGGAGAATCCCATAAACAGAGGAGCCTGGCGGACTACAGTCCATAGGGTCACAAAGAGTCCATCTTAACTGAAGCTCCTTAGCATGGACACACACACACTCCATTGTATGCATGCACCACATCTTCATCCATTCCCCTGTCGATCGGCATTTAGGTTGTTTCTGTGTCTTGGCCACTGTAAACAGGGCTGTAAAGAACATTGGGATGCATATAACCTTTCGAATCATGTTTTTCTCCAGATACATGCCCAAGAGTGGGATTACAGGGTCATATGGTAGCTCTATTCTTAGTTTTTTAAGGAACTTCCATACTGTTCTCTATACTGGCTGTACCAATTAGCATTCCCACCAGCAGTGTAAGAGGGTTCCTCTCTCTCTACACCCTCTGCAGCATTTGTTATTGGTGGTTTTTTGGTATTTAACCATTCTGACTGGTGTGGGGTGATATCTCATTGTAGTTTTGATTTGCATTTATCTAATAACTAGCCATGTTGGCATCTTTTCATGTGCCTGTTGCTTATCTGTTTATCTTTGGAGAAATGGCTTTTCAGGTCTTTTGCCCATTTTTTGAGTGAATTGTTTATTTTGATGCTATTAGGTGTCTTAAGATGTTTGTAAATTTTGGAGACTAATCCCTTATTGGTTGCATTGTTTGCAAATATTTTCTCAGTCTGTGGATTGTCTTTTCGTTTTATTGTTTCCTTTGCTGAGCAAAAGCTTTTAAGTCAGTCCTATTTGTTTCTTTTTGTTTTACATTATTGTGGGAGACGGATCAAGAAAGATGTTGCTGTAATTTATGTCAGAGTGTTCTGCCTATGTTTTCTTCTAGGTGTGTTACAGAGTTCTATATATACATAAATTTGGGATTCATCAGTTCCAAATTTGAGTTCTAGTACTTTGATAATTTTCTGTTTTTAAAAAATGAATTTCTGGACATGAGTGGATTTGTATATGTTAGCATTTGGTTTCTAAATCTTAGGATATTAGTTACCAAATTAATATGAAGAAGAAACTTTTTTTTTTTAATATAATTTCTTGGGTGTGAAAGGTGGACATTATGGGCAAATTTCTTTAAACTACTTAGACTGCAGAGGGATAAACATATGACCTGGAAAACTTGAGGATTTTAAAACTGCTTAATAGTTTCATTTTAGAATTAAATACCCTCTGCACTTGAAGTTACCAATTTACTCTCTGTCATTTTACAGGATTCTCCGGCTAACATTGAACTTCTCCCAGTGGAGCCACAAAGTAAACAGCTCATGACTTCTGATCAGGACGCTAAGGTCGTGGCTGAACCGCAGGGCCAACGAGTCCAAGAAGGGAAAGACAGTGCGCATCTGGTGAGTGGGTGTCCAGGCCAACGCCTGCCCGTGCACCCTCTTCTCTTGTGATAACTGGCTCTGCACTCTACTCAGAACACTTATGCTTAAATATAGGGGTAAATTCTGAGTATACTTAGGGCTTCTTAGTAGAGGAAGTTTCAAATTTCTAAGTGATAGAGAAAACACAGGCATTATAGTTCTTAAGACTTAAAGCTTTGGACTTAAAATCACTAAGATAAAGGCAGTGATTTATAAATATTTTAATAACATGATAGCCATTGTAGTGGTATTTATTTAAAGTGTTAATTAGAAATTAGAATACAGATTTTAAAATTTGAAGGCTTCTACATCATTGTGAATAGCTCATTAAATTTCTTTGTCATATAAGTGTGCTTTTCTCAGTGGGTTTTGTTTTGCTAAATTACCATGGTTTGAAAATGTGTTTCTTTGCATTGTAGTGATGGTGTGTCTGGTGTTTTCAATTTTACAGATGAATGGTCCCATATCTCAGACAACTTCTCAGACAAGTTCCATTCCAGCTTTGAGTCAGGTAATTCAGTTCAGAGATTAATCATACCTAAAGCTCACAGACAATGCATTATAGTAAATATTAATTGTAAAGAAATTAGAAAATGTGAATGTTCCCCAAAAAGAGTGGGGTAGGACCCACTTGGGAACAGTATATGTCAGTACTGTATATTCTCTTCTGGTGTGTGCATGTAGCTCTACAGACAGCTGAGTGCCACGTGTATTGATTTCATCTCTTCATCACAGTGTTGTTAATGGTTCACTGATCATGTAGTGTGTGTATGTGATTAACTTTACATTTCAACAGCCTGTATTCCTTAAAGCACAGAAGTCGTATTAAGTTTTTACTAAGAACACTGGTTTCACTGTTTGCATTTTCATATATCAGATGCATTTGGAGTCAGGCACATTTAGGTTGACAGTCTTCTAAGTGATCTCATAAATCCTACAGAATTTTAAAATTAAGTCTTTTTTAAAGTAAATGTAAATTTTTTAAAGTAATATTACAAAATTTATAGCAGCCGCATCTACACCCCAACTTATAAACAGCTCATGTAGAAGTTAAAGGTGGGGATTGGATTGTTGATATATTTTTAATAAGGCAGAATTTTAAAAAATGAAGGATGTCCTCCAAACTACTATATTTTATCGTTATTCTATTATGTATATAAGGTTTTTGCATATTGTATTTTACACTGATTTTAAGTGAATTTTATAATACTTTTAAGTCATTTGAAAGTCAAATTTGAAAGAGTTAACATTACACAGAAATCACTGACAGATTTAAAAAACTGTTTTAGATCAAATCTCCCACCTCCTCTTGGTTGATTCGTGGTCTGATATAATATTCACATGTCTTTAAAACCCATGTTAGGGCATAAAACTAGATATTTGGATTCTGTGGGTGGGTTTTGGTTTGAGGTTTGCTTGTTTTTTAAAATCATGTTTGGGAAACAATTGAGATAAGACCTGCCTAGAAAAGAAGTGTTAACACTTGAGCCAGCATTCAATATTCATTTTTTTGGAGAAATGATTTGCAACTAGTGCTGCCTGCACATGATTTCTTTGTCATTGTAAAGAGTTCATGTTTCTTAATCGAGTATTACATGGCTGGTTCTTGGTCCAGCTCTGCTACTCAATACCCCTGGTGTCACAGACCACATCTCTGACACCTGGTGTTGTAAAGTAAGTGTATTCTACTCACCAGTTTTTCAGAGTATATGCACATTTTAGGTTTTCATAGGATCACTAAATACTAGAACTGGAAGGGATCATTATTAAGAGACCATCTGGGCTCACAACATGTGTGTTCTTTAAAACTTTATAACAGATTTGCATTCTGTAGAAAGTAGAAGTCTTGTTAAAGAGTACATACATTCTTATGTAGTTGTAAACAGTATGTATATACATATTTTACCTCAAGCTTTCCCCCCATAGCAGACTTCATCTGTATATACCCTTGTACTTGCCCTGTGGTATTTTCTTTATGTTGATTTGCCATCATTTCTTTAGCTGTTCAGTTTTTGGGTACATTGAACGTGTTTCTTTTTTTCCTGCTATCATAAATGGCATTGCTTTGAACATTTTTCTAACTGGCATTACAATGGCACACCTGTATATGGACAGCTGAGTTGGTGTGGTGGCTCTGAGTACTGACCCTTCATAGTCTGCAGTTGTGCAATTGCAGAGTGTCTGTGCTTAGCGGACTCATTTGGGAACCAGTCTTGTTTAAGGTTTAGTCTTTCCCCTAGAGTTGGATGCAGTGTAAGTAGGAGAATGGCCTTAGTAACACCCAAATAAATGTCTGAATAATTCACAAGCAGATTTGCATTTAGGCCATGGTGCTGCCAATTGTTTGTTATACAGCTCCCTGCTAATCTCCTCCCCCATATAATACCCTTATTGAGTTGTAACTATTTGCAGGTCTAGCCAATCAGTGAGTGTAAAAAGTGATCTTAACTGGAGGAAACTGAGAGCAAAGAGGCTTTAGCAGTTTCCCTAAGATTGCTCATCTGTCCAGGATTTGAACCTGGGCAGCCTGGCTTCAGAGCCTACTCAAGAAGAGATACATCTTTTTTGGCATGTGTTATTTCCTTTAGAAAGAGAAACAAGTAGAAAGTAATACCAGAAGCAAAACCTATTTCTTGTCAACCTTTGGGAACAGCTTTGCGTTGTCTCTGAGTGGTTGAAATTAATTTGGGATAGAGCTAGAGGATTTTAGGTGGGGAATAGCATGACTTATAAAAAGATTACTTTGACATCATTGTATTAACAGAATACATTGTAGTGAGCCAAGAATCAGTTCAGTTCACTCACTCAGTTGTGCCCAACTCTTTGTGATCCCGTGGACTGCAGCACACCAGGCTTCCCTGTCTTGTCAGCAACTCCCGGAGCTTGCTCAAACTCTTGTCCATCGAGTTGGTGATGCCATCCAACCATCTCATCCTCTCTCATTCCCTTCTCCTGCCTTCAGTCTTTCCCAGCATCAGGGTCTTTTCAAATCAGTCAGTTTTTCACATCAGGTGGCCAAAGTATTGGAGTTTCAGCTTCAGCATCAGTCCTTCCAGTGTATATTCAGGACTGATTTCCTTTAAGATTGACCGGTTGGATCTCCCTGCAGTCCAAGGGACTCTAAGAGTCTTCTCCAACACCACAGTTCAAAAGCATCAATTCTTCTGTGCTCAGCTTTCTTTATAGTCCAACTCTCACATCTGTGCATGACTACGGGAAAAACCATAGCTTTGACTAGATGGATCTTTGTTGCCAGAGTAATGTCTCTGCTTTTTAATATGCTGTCTAGGTTGTTCATAGCTTTTCTTCCAAGGAGCAAGTGTGTTTTAATTTCATGGCTGCAGTCACCATCTGCAGTGATTTTGGAGCCCAAGAATATAAAGTCTGTCACTGTTTCCATTATTTTCCCATCTATTTGCCATGAAGTGATGGATCCAGATGCCTTGATCTTAGTTTTCTGAATGTTGAGCTTTAAGCCAGCTTTTTCACTCTGCTCTTTCACTTTCACTAAGAGGCTCTTTAGTTCTTCACTTTCTGCCATAATGGTGGTGTCATCTGCATATCTGAGGTTATTGATATGTCTCCCAGCAATCATGATTCCAGCTTGTGCATCACCCAGCCCAGCATTTCACATGATGTACTCTGCATATAAGTTAAATAAGCAGGGTGACAGTATATAGCTTTGACGTACTCCTTTCCCTATTTGGAACCAGCCTGTTGTTCCATGTCCAGTTTTAACTTGTTTCTTGACCTGTATAGAGATATCTCAGGAGGCAGTTCAGGTGGTCTGGTATTCCCATCTCTTGAAGAATTTTCCAGTTTGTTGTGATCCACACAGTCAAATGCTTTGGCATTGGTCAATAAAGCAGAAATAGATGTTTTTCTGGAACTCTCTTGCTTTTTCGATGATCCAGCGGATGTTGGCAATTTGATCTCTGGTTCCTCTGCCTTTTCTAAATCCAGCTTGAACATCTGGAAATTCATGGTTCACATAGTGTTGAAGCCTGGCTTGGAGAATTTTGAGCATTACTTTGCTAGTATGTGAAATGAGTGCAATTGTGCAGTAGTTTGAACATTAGTAGTTTGGCATTGCCTTTCTATGGGATTGGAATGAAAACTGACCTTTTCCAGTCCTGTGGCCACTGCTGAGTTTTCTAAATTTGCTCATATTGAGTTCAGCACACTAACAGCATCATCTTTTAGGATTTGAAATAGTTCAACTGGAATTCCATCATCTCCACTAGCTGTGTTATTAGTGATGCTTGCTAATGCCCATTTGACTCCGCATTCCAGGATGTCTGGCTTTAGGTGGGTGATCACACCTATGTAGTTATCTGGGACATGAAGATCTTTTATGTATGGTTCTTCTGTGTATTTTTGCCAACAAGAACAGAAGCAAAGAAACCAAGTTAAAGAATTGGTAAGTGAGGTGAGAAATGATGGTGGCTTAGACTTGAATGGATTTTGAATTTTCTGGAAATCCATAAATGCCACAAGTTTATGGAGGAGTAACAAACTGGAGGAGTAAAGCTTTGTGGAGGGAAAATCCACCTGTTAAAAATTTTAAGTGAGCAGTGAAGTGCATCACTGATGCCAGTTGGTCCTAATTAGAGAGGTTAGGGCCTGAGATGTAAATTTGGAATCCACAAATAGGTTTTTTATTGTATTCTCTGTGGCTGAGCTGGTAAAGGATATGCCTGCAATGCAGGAGACCCCAGTTCAATTCCTGGGTTTAGAAGGTACCCTGGAGAAGGGAAAGACTACCCACTCCAATATTCTGGCCTGCAGAATTCCATCAACTGTGTTACATTAGTCCATGGGGTCACAAAGAGTCAGACACGGCTGAGTGACTTTCACTTAATAACTTCACCTAATGATATAGAAAAGAATATTAAAGCTATTGTTGTTTATGTGGATTAGGTAGCTGAGTTATCTAAAATAAAAAAATTCAATTAAAAAGTAACTGAGTTGCCAATTAAAATAAAATCAACTCTCATACTTTTTTTCCTTCTGTAATCTTTTGCCTGTCTTAAAAGTTTTATGTCCTTCAGAGGTGATGATGGCTTTCTAGGATGACTGAGAATGTCCTTTTCTTTTCAGTTGTTTTGAAGAGTTAGAGAAGCATAGGTGTCAGCTCTTCCTTGTGTGTTAGGTGGCGTTCCCCAGAGTAGTCATCCAGGCCTGGACTCCTGTTTGCATGGAGTTTATTGTTATTTTTAAATTGCAGATTGTATTTCACATCTAGTGATCTGTCTGTTCCAATTATCTAATTCTTCACTTATTTTCAGTGGGCTATGTATTTCTAGAAACTTGTCCATTTCTTATAAGTTGTCTGTTTTGTTGACATGTAACTGTTCATCATAATATTTTCTTTAACAGTATTTTGTATTTCCATGGTGTTGGTTGTTACATCTCCTCTTTCATGTCTTATTTTGTTTAGTTGTATTTCTTTTTTCTTCTTGGTCAGCCTGGTCAGAGTTTTATTACTTTTGTTTATCCTTTCAAAAAACT